CTGCATGTAGATGTCGTTCGGGATGGCCTGCAACAGGTAGGTCTTGGCAATGAGATCTGCCCGGAGTCTTGCTCTATCCTCATCATCATATTCGTCAACAGTCTTCGGTCTCCATTCTAACTCAACCGGTGGATTGTTCCCATTGTCTCTTTCAACAGCAATCATGAGTTGTGCAGGTCCATTTGTGATAGAGTCAAGAAGACCTGAGGATTGGTCCTTGCTCTCAAGAAAGTTCAGAAATCGGTTCTTCCATACATTGTACTCCCCTCTTCTTAGAATCGGGGGTCTTGTATCATTTCCAATAGATAAAGCATCCATGTTAAATGATCGGGCTGATCAGTTGATTGATTTGATTCTGTTTTGTTGTTTAAGTCTTCAGTCAGATGTCTTTGTTCTGGTTGCAAAGTGTCTAAATCGGGCAAGGTGTTGAAGGATCGCTCAACTTCGCTAAGATCGCTCAACCTTTTACAAAAGATCGCTCAACTCTCAAAAAGATCTCTCAACTCAACAAACAATCTCTCAACTTTACGAAAATCTCTCAACTTAAAAAATATCGCTCAACTAAAAGAAAGTTCGCTCAAAAAGTGTAAGATTGCTCAACTACAAATCTCTCAACCTTAAAAAGATCGCTCAACAATAATAAAAGATCGCTCAACTTAGTAAACAATCTCTCAACTTAAAAAAATCTCTCAAAGTCCAAAATGGCGCAACTTAACAAATCGGGCGAGTCCAAAATGCGCAAAACAACGATCGCGCAGGTGTACTTGCGCGAAGTGAAGATCGCGCAGAAGACGTCGAACGAAGTGAAAAATCGCGCAGCAGTCAAATGAGGATGGCGCAAGTCCAAGTATCGCTCAGGATGTGTTGCGCGAAATTTGTGATCGCGCAGGAGACCTGTTGCGCGAACCTGTTCTTCCTTTTCAGGGAGTTGCGCGATAATGCAGAATCTCTCAAGACTGGCTTAATCTGTACGCCGAGTTTCAGATAGCGATTTTCTACAGAAATGATCCCTTCAAGCCTAGAAACACTTTCCTTCAGCCATTTTTCTGCAAAAACAACAACAAAAATAGAACCAGAAATCGCTCAAGTGCGAAACTTCAACGATGAAGAATCGCGCAGAAGCTTTTTCAGTCTTCAATCGATCGATCAGCTCCGGCTCTGATACCAGATGTTAGTCCCAATTTCTACTCTATAATATATAAGATCTGATTAATAGGAGTAGAAGAAGCTTTCCATTGATGTGAAGGTTTTACAGAATGATATGAATGTTTCTAGCGTGAAAACCTTACACGGAAATAGGCACTGCGGCACAGAATGTTTCGAAAAGCTTAACCTAGCCTTTCCCTTAAGGCATATATATAGCCTGACGGGAAAGGTAGGTTTTACAATCATTTGGGATCCTTTTCCTAGGAGGCCCATACCTAAAAAGGTATAAAACCTTTATTACAAAATTGCCTTAAAAGGCCTATTCATTATTCTAGCTAACTATAAACTAGCAAAGTAACATTGATCACAATTACAATGAAAATATCTCTAACAAGAATTAGAACAAAAACCTGATGGCAAGTATCCTAAGGCTTGTTATGCATTGGATAAATCTCAAAGAGAAGTGGTTATAGATTGGGTTCAGAATCTGAAATTTCCTGATGGATATGTCTCCAACTTAAGTAGGTGTCTTGATATGAAAACATATAAGATGTTTGGAATGAAGAGCCATGACTGCCATATTTTCATGCAAAGACTAATTCCTATTGCTTTTCGAGAACTTTTACCGCTGCAGGTTTGGGAAGCGCTTACAGAGTTGAGGTTGAGCTTGTTTTTTAAGCTCTTAATTGCAACAGAGATTACACTTGCAGATATGGATATATTAGAAGGAGAAATTCCTATTATTCTTTGCAAATTAGAGAGCATTTTTCCTCCAAGTTTGTTTGACTCAATGGAACACCTACCTGTGCATTTACCTTACGAGGCCAAAATTGCTGGGCCTGTTCAGTTTCGATGGATGTATCCATTTGAGAGATTTCTTCGGCGATTGAAGAAACATGTAAAAAATAAAGCTAGGATTGAAGGGTCTATTTGTAATGCATATTTGGTTGAAGAAGCTGCTACGTTTTGTTCACACTATTTTGAGCCTCATATTCAAACACGTGCTCGTAAAGTACCTCGTAATGATGATGGAGGGGATATTGAGAAAGTTGAAGGGTCTTTGAATATTTTTTCACATCCCGGTCGTGCTTATTGCAAAGCAAAGAGAAGGATGTTAACACTCCAAGAGAAATCTGCTGCACAATCATATATTTTACTAAATTGTGAGGAGGCTGGAGAGTATATCAGGTAATTCATTTCATTCTAACTTCTGAATAATTCAATATATTATTAATCCTGTTTTCTCATTTTTTATTTGATACTTTATATTTGTATTTCTTGTAAATATAGGATGTTTGAGGAACATTTGAAAGAGATGTCACCAGACGAATTGAGCGATGTACAAATCAACAAAGACTTAGAGAAACACTTTGCTTCATGGTTTTATGAATATGTATGTTTGTACTTAGTGATGAACTAACTGATTTTTATAGGTACTGCATGTTCTCATTTGTTGTTCTATTTTACAGGAGTGTAAAAATCACATTGGGAACAACTTCATTCGTTGTTTGGCTCAAGGTCCATTGATACATATAAAACTGTATCCAGTGTACTTCATCAATGGTTTTAGGTACCACACAGAGGCACATAGTACTGGAAAGTCAACATTGAATAGTGGTGTTTCTGTAAGTGGGTCATCTTGTGACTACTTCGGAATATTACAAGAGATCATCGAATTGGAATATCCAGAACCACCAATGAAAACGACTGTATTGTTCAAGTGTGAGTGGTTTGATCCAACACCAAATATTGGCACTAAGGTTCATAAGAAGTACAATCTGGTTGAGATTAACTACAAAAGAAGATTTCAGAAATATGAACCTTTTGTCCTTGCAATGCAAGCATCTCAAGTTTGTTATGTGTCATATCCCAGTTTGAGACGTGATAAGTGTGATTGGTTGGCAGTGTTGAGAGTTAAAGCTAGAGGGGTGATGAATGTTAATCTTCCAAAGGAAACAGATGGAATTGAAAGAGAGGATATTGCATATCAGGTGAACCAAGAACAAATTGAAGAGTTTCATATAAGTGACAATGAGGACGATTTTGCTCTTAATGACTCAAATGCAGAAGATGTTGATTTGGAAATCAGTGATGATGAAAGTCCAGAGACAAATGAGGAAAACCAATATGATGAACCGGAATATGAAACAACTGAAGATCTAGGAGATGATGAACTTGATGATGATTATGATGATGATAGCAATTAGCATATATTATTGTATTTTATAGACGTGTTTTTTTAAACGTTGTAATTTGCATTATGATGACATGTTTGTTGCTTGATTATGAATTGCATTTTACATTTTTTGGTTTTCTAAATTTGTAATTTTAGGTAATTTGTATTAATTAATTACTTATATCATGTGATTCTAATTTTTATTTGATGTAGGTATGCCTCCAACAAAAAGAACTATTAAGAGTTCACTCTTAAAAGCTAGGATGATATCACTGGAGCAGCCCAATGAAGAAACTGCCAGTGAAGTTAGCTCTCCAGATGATGAAGTGGAAGACCATTATAATGAGTTTGATGATGAAGAAATGGAGGATCAACATGATGAACGTATTGATGAGCGTACTAATGAGCAGAGTGAGGAACTGTTTGATGACGAAGTGGAAGAACAACCTACATTGCTTATACAAGAGCCATTTGAACATCCTCCTTTGCAACCTTGTCGCAAGCCAAAGAAATTTGTCAAAGTTGTTGGGAAAAAGTAAGTAATCTTTGTGAATTAATCTATGACTAAGAATATATAGAAGTGTACAATACTCTTAATATTATATTTTGTACTTTTAGATTAATTCCATCGAATATAGTCTCTCGTAACCTGCGCACAAGTCTGAAAACGCGCTTAGATCCTGAAGGTCATACCTGGAAAACGGTCAAAAAAAGGACCAAAGCATTTTATTGGAAAGAGTTTGAGGTTATATCCTTATATAATCTTTTTCAATAATTCATATTTATTTCATTTCATCTTGTTTTTTATTTCATTTTTATTTGTCAAATATAGAAGCACTTCTACTGGACTCTAGCTGTCAACGATATGGTACATAAGCTTTGGCTCCAAAATAGTGCTAGAAGATATAGTGACTTTTTAGGGGAGGCAAAGAGTGAAGAAGCGAAAAAAGGAAAAACATATGCTTATATAAAATCTAATGTGTGGGTTAAGTGGAAGCAAGCTTGGAATGCACCAAACGCTAAGAAGAAATCTGAGATCAACAAGAAAAACCGTAAAGGGTCTTCCGGTGTTGGTGTTTGTACTCACACAGGGGGTTCTCTTTCTCATCAGGAAATTGCATAAAAATTAGTAAGATTCTATAAATTTTAATATAGATCAATAATTCTTACTTACTGCACTTCAACTTCATTCCCTGACTATTATTATTACCCTTGATATTCTGCTCAAATTCATTCTCGAATTCATTCCCTGGCCAGTATTTGTACTTCTTTAAATAGAAGACTTTCATGCTTTATATTTATTTATTCGAGGTTACATTTGCAAGTAAAGGAGATTGAAACTATAAATCTCAAAGGGGACTTTTTAGTTTGTCCATTGCTGTAAATTTAAGAATCATATGCACTAATTTCGTTGCTCATTAATTATTCTTGTTGTCTTGTCATGTAAACTGACGCTGCTTTGTGTATGTGTTGAGTTATTTTCCAAGTAAAAGATATGAATTGCATGTGTTTTGTATGGTAGAGTTTGGTATGCAAATAGGGGAAACTTTGTCGGATTTCAGATTTATTTTATACAGGAATATTGGATTTTATATGTCATATGCATAATTTTTCTTGTGCAGGAGAAAGAATTAAACAGGAAGCCCAATGTCCTTGATCTATTTTTATATACTCATACAAAGAAACATGATCGAGTCACCTTCATTGATGAGCGCTCCCGTAAAGTTTACGCAAGTTCTACAACAAAATTTTAAACTTAGTTAGATGTTTTAGTTTTATATCTTATTGTTTGTATTCATACACTTTTTAGGAAGCATTTCAAGCAAAAGCAGAAGCATTAAAGCGGGAAACCGAAATTGAAGAACTTACTGAAGAGCAGATCAATAAAATCTACTATGAGGTTGTTGGTGGTCATATACGTGCTAGAGTATATGGAACAGGATCTGGAGAATCTTTGTTTTATGGTAATGATGATGGCGGGGCAACATCCACTACAACATCATTAGATCCGTCATCTGCTGAAGTTCATTCTCAAGTTCAGAAATTGTTTGAGCAAGAAGCTGAACAATTACGTAAAGTGGTGCGTGAAGAAATGCGTGAACAAATGAAACTTGAGATGCGTGAAGAGATGCGTGAACAAATGCAACTTGAGATGTGTGAAGAGGTTCAACGCCAGGTTCGGGAGTTCTTTAAATCATCATCACAACCAGCCCCAAGCAATTAAGATCGAGGATAACATTGATGGTCACATATCATTTAGTCCACTAGAGCTTTAGTTGTGCTATCTGGAATCACTAATGATGTTTTGTAATGTATGATACTTATCATTTTGGTACTCCTATTCTAATGTGATACTCATTACTATTTTATTTTGCACTTCCAATTTATGCTTGATGTTTATAATTTAGACTAGTTACATTATCCATTCATATGCATTGTATTTGGGGTAAAGAAATTTTAGTAGGTAAGTTTGAAAGTCATCATCCCTAAACTACCAACGGATATCTTCCGTAGGAGCTCCCGATCGGGAATGCTTAAAAATCTGATCTCCTCTTAGCAACCAAAGAGAGTGATCATGTCGACATCCGACAGAGAGTCTGGAACAGAAGGACGCGCTGAGAATGGTTCTAATCCTGCTGCGAGAAAGGAATCTATGGAAGAGATGATGAACAGGATGTCGCTAACTGCTGCTGAAGCAGACAAGCTGATCATCGATGATGAAGAGGAAGAGGAGAAACCCCTGTGGGCGTTGGCGGGGAAGATCCTTGCGACAAAAATTTTTCACTTCAATACGATAGCCAATGCGCTGCGCCCTGCTTGGGGAAACCCTAAGGGGCTGGTATTCCGCGATGGCGGACCGAATCTTTTCATTGCTGAGCTAGGATCGGAGCGAGATCGGGAACACATCTGGGAAAGATCGCCATGGACGGTGGCCAAGTATGCTGTGGTCTTGGAAAACTATGATGGCAGTCAAAGGCCGGAAGAGCTGCGTTTTGACAAACTGTTAATCTGGGTACGGATACTCAACCTACCTTTTAACAAGATGAATGTGATGTGGGGAGAGAAGATTGCTGGGAAGTGTGGAGAATTGGTTCGCCTGGATGCTAAAGATGGTCATATCACATGATGATTTCTCCGAGCGAGAAGTTTCATCAAGGTAAATGAACCCATACAACGCTGGGTCGGCCTTGATTCAATGCGTCTAAAGAAGACCTTCTGGTATGATATCCAGTACGAATTCCTACCATACTTTTGTTTCTCCTGTGGTTTGCTGGGGCATTCCTTTTTGGTGTGCCCAAATCCTGCGGAGAGAGATGGAAATGGAGATCTACCATGGGGGGCAAAGCTGCGTGCACCTCATGAATGGAGGAAGAAAAAGATGACTCCTTTTGCTGAAGGAGGATATGCTGAGTTTGAGGAAAATGATGATGTAGAGGTGGCAGGTGAGGAAACTGGTCATCAGGAAGACCCGAAGAGAGGACTCCCTCAAACAAGGGGGAGTCAAACAAGGGGGAGAGGGCGTCAGTCCGGTGGAAGAAGTGGTAGGTATAATCCAATATACCGAAAACTCGAACTAGTGACAACTGACCCTGGGCTGATTGAGAGAGACCTTGAGATGGTTGATCCACATGTGACAGGGGCGAAGAGAGAGGATACTGAGAAGAGTTCTCAAAAGGAGGGTCTCACCCCTGACGCAAAGAAAAAACGTGTGATAAATGTGAACAATAATGCATCGGCGTTGACTGCTCAGCAGTCACGCCAGGGACAATGAGCTGCCTGAGTCTGAACTACAGGGGGCTTGGGAACCCCAGTGCAGTTCGTGAGCTTCGCGGAATTGTGAAGCAGCTAGATCCCGTGGTTCTCTTTGTCATGGAGACAAAGATTGATAAGAAACGTGTTGAGAAATTAACTAGCACTTTCGGTTTTGCCGAAGGATTTGCTATAAGCAGCATGGGACTGAGCGGAGGTATCGGTCTTTTTTGGTCTGCGGAGGTGATTGTGGACCTCAAAAGCTACAACTCACATCACATTGATGTGATTGTTCAACCAAAGGATGGAAGTGCTTCTCCATGGCGTTTCACTGGAATTTACGGTGAACCCAGACGCGAGAATAGACATGTGACGTGGACATTACTCAGGCGACTTCATGGACTTCGATGTATGCCGTGGCTATGTATGGGTGACTTCAATGAAACCTTATATGGTACAGAGCAGTTTAGTGCGCATGTTCGAAATGAGTGGCAAATGAGAAACTTCAGAGAAGCTGTAGAGGACTGTGATCTTCAAGATCTTGGTTTCTCTGGGACTCCCTACACTTGGGATAATAGACAACCTGGAAATGCTAATGTTATGGCAAGAATTGATCGAGCTTTGGGTAACATGGACTTGTTGAATCTGTTTCAGGATGTTAAAGTACGACACATGAGCATGGTCGAGTCAGACCATTGCTTAGTGATTGCCGATTTGCACAAAAAAATTCAGCAGCGCCATCATAATAGCCGACCTTTCCGCTATGAAAATGTTTGGCAGACACATGGCGATTATGACAAGGTGATCCGTGATCTTTGGTTGCGGTCTGGAGGAATGGGAGGAGGTCTTGCAGGTTTTGCAGATTCTCTTAAAGGGTTGCAGAAAGGCCTGGAGAGCTGGGGCAATGCTACTTTTGGAAATTTTAAGCGAAAGCTTGCTAACCTCAGGAATGAACTTGAAAAATCTAGGAAAGTTTCCATGAGACGCGGCCCATCAGCGGAGGAGAAGAGAATTATGAATAAGATTAATGAGGTCCTCTTCCAAGAGGAAGTTTGGATCAAACAAAGGTCACGTGTTAACTGGTTAAAGTCTGGGGACAGGAACACGGCGTACTTTCATGCTTATGCAGCACAGAGAAAACGGCAGAATTCAATTTATGCATTACAGCGTGCTGATGGTACTTGGTGCCAGGAAACTTATTCAGTAAGAAATGAAATCCAATCCTTTTATTCTGATTTGTACACTTCTGAGGGTGTTTCGCGAATGGATGAGTTACTGAACCTTGTGCAAGAACGTATCCCTATAGCTGCTCGTGACACACTAGCCAAGGATTTTTCAGAAGAAGAAGTGAAAGTGGCGTTGTTCCAAATGCACCCTTCAAAAGCGCCGGGGGTTGATGGCTTCACAGCAGGATTTTATCAGCGACATTGGGACCTCATCGGTAGGGAGTTAACTGATGCGGTCCTGGGTTTATTAAATGGCGGGGTAATGCCAAACAAAATTAATGAGACTGCTATCACACTTATTCCAAAAGTACGACAGCCCCAGTCCATTACACAGTATAGGCCAATCTCATTATGCACGGTGCTCTACAAGATTGCTACAAAAACTATTGCAAACCGCTTGAGACCAGTCCTCGAAGATATTATCAGCCAAGAGCAAAGTGCTTTTGTTCCGGGCCGGCTGATTACAGATAATGCCTTAGTGGCATTCGAATGTGTTCATACAATGAAAAGAAGAAAGAAAGCTAAGAAAGGCACTTGTGCGGTGAAACTCGATATGATGAAAGCTTATGACCGCATCGAGTGGCCCTTCCTTCAAGCTATTATGCTCAGACTGGGTTTCCCTCCTCGGTTAGTCCAGTTAATCATGCAATGTGTGTCATCTGCTCGATTTTCTATTAAGGTGAATGGAGAGCTTCTTGAACCTTTTCACCCTAGTAGAGGCATCAGGCAGGGTGATCCGATCTCGCCGTACCTCTTCCTCCTCTGTGCTGAAGGGCTCACGGCCTTACTCCACCACTTCAATCCAGGCCATATTGACAGAGGAATAAGAGTGTGTAATAGAGCACCATGGGTGTCACACCTTTTATTTGCTGACGATTGTTTGATTTTTATCAATGCAAATGCAGGAAGTGCAACTAGACTGAACAAGATTCTTGAGATTTATGATGGTGCGTCGGGACAGAGAGTTAACAAAATAAAAAGTTCCATCTTCTTCAGCCCGGGTACTCCAAACAATGCTCGAGAAGCTGTTAAACAGGAGCTTAATATTCAAACTGAGGCCTTTAGTGAGAAATACCTGGGATTTCCAACTGCTGCAGGCCGATTGACAAGTACGTCCTTTGATCACATCGCTGAAAGTGCCAGAAGTAAGATGAGTGGATGGGCTGAAAAGAATCTCTCCTATGCTGGTAAAGAGGTTCTTCTCAAATCAGTTATCCAGGCTAAACCAATATATAATATGAGTTGTTTCCTCCTCTCGAAAGGGACATGTAAAAAAATCACCTCTATGATGGGCAAGTTTTGGTGGAGTGGCAATCTGGACAAACGATCCATGCATTGGGTGGCATGGGATAAATTAGCAATCCCAAAAAACCAAGGTGGAATGGGCTTCAGAGATATGAATGCCTTTAATATTGCATTACTTGGAAAGCAAGCGTGGAGGTTAATTATGTATCCAAACTCCTTGTGTGCTAGAGTATTGAAAAGCCGTTATTTTCATGATTGTGAATTGATGGATGCAGGAGCGCCACAAGCAGCATCTTGTACCTGGCGGGCTATTCTAGCAGGAAGAGAAGATTTGAAATTGGGTTTAATCAAAAGAATTGGTTCTGGAGAATCCGTCTCTATCTGGGAGGACCGATGGATCCCAAACTCAATCACTATGCGGCCCATGGGCCGGATTCATGATACTGATGTGCTGACAGTTAATGAATTACTGAACAATGATAAGCAATGGAATGTGCCACTAGTTCGGTCTATTTTTCTCGCTCCGGACGCTGAAGCAATTTTGCAAATACCATTGAGGAGGCAAGGTGGACAGGATCAGCTAGCTTGGGCAAAGGAGAAATCAGGCATGTATACTGTTTGATCGGCTCATCGAGCGATCGTGGCAGACAGACAACGGCACGAGGCTGTTTTAAACAATAACCCCTCTTCTTCGTCAGGCAGTGAGGAGGAGTTGTGGAAAAATCTGTGGAATCTCAGGGTCACTCCAAAAGTGCGGGTATTTTGGTGGCGGGTTCTTCGGGGAATTTTACCCGATTATGGGACCTTGTCACGACGGCATATCATGGATAATAGCACTTGTGGACTTTGCAAAGCTGGGACAGAAACTCTGTTGCACGCTCTTGGGGAATGCAACCATGCGAGACTTTTTTGGAATGCGGCTAAGGAAGTTCTTTTTATTAAGCTGTCGCGCCTTCACCAAGCAACTTGGGCTGCTGATATTCTCTGCAA